AGTCAAGACCATCCCCCATAGACATGCCTGTAGGCCAACCTGATCTAGACACATTCTCATTAGGACTCCTTTTCCTGGTGATTCTACACTGTGTCACTATCACACAGAATACTTCTTAATTATCACAGTTCCCGTCCTGGCCATTATGAACACCTCCATTTGCATGCTGAATTAAGGATTCTCCCTTCTTGTGTGCTAATTTATTTATTATTGTGTATATGTATGCACGGTGCATTTCAGTGGGTAGCTGTGCTACAGCCTGTGTGTGGAGGTCAGAGGGCAACCATAAGGTTTGATTGAGAGATCCTGCTTCAGTGAATAAAGTTGAAGAATGACCAAAGACAATTCTGGGCCCCCACCCTCCCTCCATCCCTCCCTCCCTCCCCGCAACCGCACACAGAGTTAAATTACTCCTTAAAAATCAAGTAGTTCAGATACAGGGTACCCAAAGGTCAGGCCTGATGGGTATCTTCTATGACTTCTAACTTGCTCTCTCTTCATCCCCGCTGATCCCTCCCATGGGTTCCAAGTTTTTAGATCCTGATAAGAGCTTCTCAGCACAGACCGAACTGATTCTCTTTCCTTTGAATCCTGTCAGCTGTAAGAAATGGCAAGACAACACCTCCATCTCACTCTCCCCTTTTCCTCACATTTCTTGCCAAACCCGAGGCTAATGCAGAGGATGACACCCACCTGCCTCTTTCCTGTTGTAATTCTTCCCTTATATGGGTGAATTCTATCTGGGAAAACAGCCGAGACTCAGTCTCGTGTCTCATCTCCCACAGCAATGGCCACACTATGGATGCCTACCACCCCATCCCATATGCGCTTCCGCTAGAGACTGCCATGTATTCTGTCGTTCATCAGCTGTTCTGAGGGCATGACTGTATTAATCTGTGTTATCGTCTGGAGAGGGACCTCAGATATCCATGTTTTCAGTTTTGAATGAGTTTATTAAGTACATAGGAGGCCAAAGTAAAAGAATAAATACCAAGTAACAGATAAATAGATCGCAAAACAATCTAACTGAGTACTCAAAATACCCAGCAGGAGTCAACTAGGAAAGCCATGGGGAGGCAGCCAGCTGGAGTTGCCAGTAAAGGGAGTCCTGGGCAGAGCAGAGCACCCTCTGGGTGACAGGACACTTCCAAGGGAAAGAACAAATAGCAACAGCTAACGAGAAAAATCATCAAACTCCGAGTCACATCATCCAGCAGCAACCACCGGGTGAAGTTCAAGCAGTGAGCGGGAGGGAATCCCCACTGACCCTTCACCCCACGGTTGGGCTTCCCACGGTTGAGTGCCCAGCTTCTCTCTCCCAGTGCAGTGACTTTATATCACGGGCTGAGCGCTGGGGACCCCTGTCAGAAACGGGTGACCAGCTGCTCTCAAGCACACGGTACTTTTACCCTTCGGCTGGTTTTGCTGTTCTCGTCCCTTCCTGTCACAGAGTTGGCGGTGGTGGTGTGGTGGTGGTGGTGTGGTGTCTTGGAGGACACTCGACATAAACATGCTTGGGTGTCAAGTTCCGGAGCAACTCCCACTTTCAGAACCAGTTTATCGTTGAACTCAAATAACACACGGCGATTTACTGATGTAATATATATTACCACATGGCAGACCCGGTCACCAAGGAGGCATCTCAGCCGTATCATCTAGAGGAAGATGTACCCCTGGAGCCCCTCTAAAAATATTACACTTTTAGACAAGTCAGTCTTATCACCCATTTCGGGGTGCAGGCAACTGTTGCAAGGAGGTGCACCCCCATACAGGGAACGCTACTGTGACTGCCCCCATGGATACTTTACTATCTGTTGACTTAGTTACCTGTCCTGTCACCCACCCATAGCAGGGACCACATAGGACCGTACAGCTAACACATCTTTGGTCCTGTGGGCTTGTCCCTGTTGGGGTGATAATTGTGTTGCGTGCTTTCTTCTTCATAGACCTGCACAAATATCCTTTTCCTCTTGTGTGGGAGGCCAGCTCCCACCTTTTAAAGGGTTCCTGTGAGGAGGAGAGAGGAATAAGAAATGTGTAGATAGAAAGATAGAAGAGAGGAGACAGACAGAAACACAGGATAGCTTCGGGAGGACCTGGGTCAATATCCAATGGCCCCTTCTGTTTATTCAAAAGGACTTTTTATGACAATGCCAAGGGTGGGGCAAAAGACCTCCCCCTTGCTAGGTCAAAGCACACCACACAGCCAAGTGTAGACCTTTCCAAACACTTGGTAACCATGTCTGTGGTCAAATCATCCCCTTATGCAGTCCTGCTGGGTAAAGCAAGCTCAGATTCTTTGACCCTGAGTAATTTGGGCCTCCACACTCCTGAGCCAGGGCATTGTTGACAGACCAAAGAAATGATTCCACCCAAGTCTGGCTTGAACCACAAAATCCACAGGGGTCACTTATAGGAACATGGATGACTCAGGCAGCTGTACCACTGATTAGCCAACCCTGACCTGGGTGACAACTCATGAAAGCTACGTGACTGGAATTCCTAGGTGACTCGCAGGTGCTCCGTCATAGTTTCCTCTCCTAGAAAAACAGCCAATATCTTCATGATATCGGCTCTGCCTGCTTGCAGGCGTCCATCCCTATGGAGCCTATGGACCAGCGGCTCTTCCCAGAGCTTATATACCATTCTGCCCTAATCACCAAGACCTTGGGGTCTCTGGAAGTGGTGGGGTGTACAGGCTGAGAGAAGTTAATTGACAGGGGCTCGGTCTATGTGGTGATGTGGAAGCCATCATTCATTTTTGGGTGAAGACTTCCCAGTATGGCTGCTTTGGGACTCCCCCCCCCCACTCCTGTCAATAACCCCTGTCGATGTAAGTAAGCCCCATTGGTTCCCCGGGGTGAATCTGGGTGAGACTGCACTTTGGTTTGTCATTGGGATTTTGTGAGGAGGGAGTAGACGTTTAAATCTCCTGCAGAGGGAAGGAATTCTCCCAACACTCCCTCCTTCTCCTAGGAGGGACTGTTTCAGATTAGAGGAAATAGCCGTAGGCTAGGTCGTGTCTATGAGACTTCTGACGGAGAAGTTAGAACTGGCTTTGAAACCAGGAATGGTCACACATGACTATAATCCCTGGAGTAGGGATAATAGGATTGTGAGCTTGAGGCCAGCTTGGGTTATGGAAGGAGACCTTGTCCCAAATAAACAAAGAACTGACCTTGAGTATGAAAGTCCTGGGCTCACGCTAAACACAACAACTTGGCAGTTAATCATTAAGATACATGGTATTAATTTTCTCTCTTTTTCTTTTCTTTTCTTTTTTCTTTTCTTCATTTTTGACACAGGGTTTCTCTGGCTGTCCTAGAACTTGCTTTGTAGACCACGCTGTCATCAAATTCACAGAGATCCGCTTGCCTTTGCCTCCCAAGTGCCAGGATCACAGGTGTGTGCCACCACCGCCCGGCTTGGTATTAATTTCCTTATCACACTTACTTATTTATGCAGCATGCATTTAGTAACACACATATTTGGAGGTCAGAGAACAACTTGTGAGAATCAGTTCCCTCCTTCCACCACACAGGTTCAGGGATTTGAACTAGTGTGTCAGACTTGATAGCAAGCTGATGAAGCTGATGAGCCACCTTGCTGGCCCCTATGTGATATTGAAAGGCATGAGCTGGTCTGGGGATGTAGCTCAGTGGTGGAGCATTGCCTAGTATGTATGATGTCCGAGGTTTAACCCCCAGGACCGTGAAACTAGCTAGCAAGCAAGCTATGAGAAACGAAGGCAAGGAATCCTAGGTCTCGAGGTCAGGGCTTGCCAATCTGGGGGCAAAGGATGTCAAACCAGCAAATGATTCTGTTTTCTCCTGGTTGAAATAATGGAAGGATGCATGGGTGGATGGATCTCCTTCGCCACTTTCTTGGAAAAGCTGGGTCACCTTCACTGCAGCCCTCTTATAGGTATCCATGGACCTCAATGGCCTTCTGAGAGTTCTTAAGTTAGCTATCCCCCCACTTCCCCGACCCAGTGTTGGGATTGAGTCTCCACTTCTGGGTCCCAGTCCCAGCCCTCACTGGAGAACTACAAGCAGACACTCTAACACTGAGCCAAGTCCAGGGCCCCTCACTGGGGGATTTTAGGCAGGTGCTCTACAGCTGAGCCACACCCTAGCCCCTCACTGGGGATTCTAGGCAGGTGCTCTACCACTGAGCCACACCCCAGACCCTCACTGGGGATTCTAGGCAGGTGCTCTACCCCTGAGTCACACCCCCAGCCCCTCACTGGGGGTTTCTAGGCAGGAGCTCACCTGCTTAGCTATATCCCCAGGTGACAACAGCTGAATTGGGTCAACAGCCTCCTCAATATATCCCAGTCAGTGGATGTTCTTCACATTAAAGCCAATTTACCACTGGACCAGATGTTGAAAGTAGGTGATAAACACACAGGTGGTGGAGGAGACAGCTCATTTGACAGAACGCTTGCTGTGCATCATGGTGATCTTAGTCCATTCCCCGGAACCCATGTACAGAGGGAAAAAGCAGGACTTGGTGGTGAGTGCTTACAATCTGAACTCTTGGGACGTGGGTGGGGGGCAAACACAGGCAGGACCCTGAGATCTCTGCCCAACCAGGCTAGCCTGCTTGGTGAGTCCCAGGCTAAGGAGAGACTATGTCTCGAATGAAAAGTGGACAGGCCCTGGTAGGTAACACTTGGGGTTGTCCTCTGGTTTCTACACACACCTGTGTGTGCTTGCACACGCACCAACACATACACAAAAACCAAAGAAACCCAAGGCAATTTCCTTTAAAAAGGTTTTCATTTATTAGTCTTTTCTAAAGCAGTTAATTCTCTTTTCTTATTTTGTTTTTGTTGTTTAAAAAAAATGTGTGTTTTATCCAGAGTTATATCAAAGCGATTAAAATGAATTTTCTCCCGAGGATACAGCTCCTCGGATTAGAAAAGATCTTTTTTCCCCAATTAACCATAAAAATAAGACCCAAAGAGCACACCAACAATCAAACATCATCCCCAAATATCCAGGACAAAAAATAAAATATTTATTGATCTATCACAGCGAAACACAAAGAGGTGGGGTGGTGGGGCATGCTCTGTAAGAGAGTGGCTCCAGGAAGGGATGGGGGATACAGTACTGCATGTGGGGAGGATAGTCCTGCCCCAGCCCGCACAACCCCTTGCACCCCAGGCCAGCATTTGGGGTGTGTGGCGGGGGTGGAAAAAACAGGGTACAGGCTGCCATGACAGGTGAACCAGGTTGATAGTGGGTGTGCCCAGTCAGCTAGTGGCACTAGGCAGTTGGGATGGACGGATGGATGGATGGATGAATGGGTGGGCGGGTGGATTCCACAAGAACAAGGGGGGCTATTCCCAGTGTGGGAGCCTTCTGACTCCAAGGTGTCCCAGATGTGGGAAATAGCTACTGGCAGAGGGAGACAGGGCCAAGGGATCCAAAGAGAGAGGGACTGTGTCTTCAAATCCAGCGTCAAGGCTCTCGGCATTTGGGTACCAATGGGATGCAGCCAGGGATGGCTCCTGGTGGACAGGCTGAGGTGGGACTGCCCAACAAATGTGTGCACCATCTTAATAGAGGGGTTTAGGGAAGGGAGGGTCCCCTGGGATACCCTTCCCTCCTCCCTCCCCCCACGAAAAAGAAGCACCAACATGTAGCACCAATTTCCCTTGGAGATGGAGACTGTGTGTGGGGGAGCTCCTGGGTGGGAAGAGATGGGGCACCCGCCCTGGCCTCTGATGTAGGGGGCAAATTTCTGGTTAGGGGTACGTGGCCGCTGCTGTCTGATTTCCTTGTCCTGTGGGTTTCCAAGGCCACTGGCCTGTTGTCCCCTCCCAGGTGGGGTCAGGGGGATGGAGTAGGGGGTGGTCATAGAAGGTTTACATTCTCCACCAAGCAGTAGCACCAACGTTGATGAGGTCGCGAGTCAGGGGTCTCCAGAAGATCACTTCCTCTTCCGGCCACAAGATTTCCCGAAGCAGCCCCCACCTGGGTTGGAAGGAGGCACAAGCAGCCATTGTTAGCTTGGTCCCTCTGGGCTGCCTTTTGAGTCCTTGAATGCCCTGTCTCTGTCTGCTTCCATCCCAGGCTTAGAGAATCTAAAAGGAGCCTTCCTCCCTCCCTTCCTATACCTCTCATTCTTTGAGACAGTGTCTCATGTAGTTCAAGCTGGCCATGAATTCAAGTATACAGCTGAGGATGACCTTGAACTCCTGATCCTCATGTCTCTACCTCTCTGAGTCCTTAGATTATAGGCATCCACCATCTTACTTGGTTTCATGATGTACTGGGGATGAAACCTAGCTCATGCTAGGCAAGTATTCTTTCTATCAACAGAGCTATGTCCTCAGCAGACCCTTTGCTTCTCTCTCTCTCTCTCTCTCTCTCTCTCTCTCTCTCTCTCTCTCTCTCTCTCTCTCTTTCTCTCTTTGTATGGGGGTGGGGTTGTTGAGATTGTCTCCTTATGGAGTCCACGCTGGCCTCTAACTCACAATCCTCCTGCCTCAGCCTCCTGAGTGCTGGGAAGCCCTCACTGTTCAGCAAACCTGGCGCTCGCTAGATGACCTGGGGTCGGGAGGTGGCCTGTTAGCGCCACCTGGTGGCACCAGGATGGAGATGGCCCATCCTGGAAGTCCTCAAAGTCGCTTTTAAGTCCTAGGCTCCTCTGTGCAGGTGAGGGTGGGCAACAGCTAAGAAATATGGGCAGGAAAGTCCAGGTCACACCAAAGGTGAGCATGGAGGGTCCTAGGCTTGCTCCCAGATCTGATTATCTGCACTGGATGTGCCTGTCCCCTAGCCCAGGCTGGTGGACCGAGACCTTGACCTCTGACTTTGCCTCTTCCTTCCCTAGGAATGGAGTCTCTACTTACCTTGGTATCCCAGGGCTCCAAGGGCTCCTCCATAGGACTTCGGAGGTTTTCCTGTGGGGGGGGGGTGGTAGCCGAGGATGAGATGGGGCAGATTCTGGACTCCCCTACCTCTTCCAACATCCTCACCTTGTACTAGCTCTGCCCTGTTTTTGTAGACTCCCAAGACCTCCCTGCCAATCAGCACACCCACCTCTGGTCCAGCCACACCCTTCTCCCCAGAGCCAAACTCTGTAGTATTAGGGATGGAACTTAGGCCCAGTGCACTCTAGGTAAGTGCTTTACTGCTGAGCCACACCCCAGCCCCTCACTGGGGGATTCTAGGCAGGAGCTCTACCACTGAGCCATACTCCCAGCCCCTCACTGGGGGATTCTAGGCAGGTGCTCTAACAGTGAGCCACACCCCAGCCCCTCACTGGGGGATTCTAGGCAGGTGCTCTACCACTGAGCCACACCCCAGCC